GTTCACCTGGTCTGTCACACCTGGTTTCACTCAGCTAATTAAGGTAATTATATTATTAGTATCATTAATATTTGTATCATCAGTTTCACTATGAATAATTTCTGCCTGCTTACTTTTGTTCCTTGCTTGATTGTTGTTGTTATAATCTTTCCTCTTATTCTCTGAGGTCATTTTTTTCTAATTTATCCTTAGTTTTGTTCATCCCGTAGTTCATGCGATATTTTGCTACCGCAGACACAGAGTTGAATCAAAACGTTCTTGCACTCAGAATATTTGTTCAGAACCAGTCTCAGATACTATCACACCAAATTTTAGTTCAATGTTTATAAGACTAAGTGAGTTACAGCCTTTTTTGGGGTTTTTAAGCTCAGCATTCTATGGTGGCCATCTTGAATCTGTTTGACTTCAAAATTAATTGGCAGTAAATGTACGTCCAATCATTGGTTTCTGAGAGTTTTATTTAAATCTGTCCACTTGTTTATGAGACATCTTGAGAACAGTCACATTAAACATACAGACAGACGTGTTTGTTAATTTTTGTCCTTATTTGTGTTGAGGTTACCTGGGGGCAGCACCGCATGGTGTAAGCATCCTGAACTCTGTCACAGAACCTGTGGCTCTCTAAAAACACACAATAACACACGTTTGAGAGTTCCGTAAGTGCAAATACAATGTGAGAGTTTTTTTATTTTATTTTCTTATCAAATACACTATTTGTGTTTTTCTGAAGAAGGAGCTATATGGAGCGTATGAATGGAAAATAAAACGGGTCCAAGAATGGATCCTTGGGGAACTCCACATGTGAGAGGAGCTGAAGAGGAAACATATTTTCTGAGGTGTACAGAGAAGCTCCAGCTGTACAGAGCTTGTGATACCACATTGTTCCAGCCTGGAGAGCAGACCTGTGATCATCTCGGTGTCAAAGGAAGCTGTCGGGTCTAAAGCAGAGTCTCCTAAATCTGTGGCCAATAAATTATCATCAAAAACTTTCAAAGTTGCAGTTTCTGTGCTGTGAAGGGCTTTTAAACCAGACTGGAACATTTTGAAAATATTGACCATTTAAGAACAGCAGCTAAATAAAAACTATCCTTTTTAAGGTTTTTGAATGACAGAATGACTGTTCTAGCATATGCTACCTAGCAAAACATACTACCTTGTGGGGATCTATTTCTTGTTACTGCACCCAAAGCCCAGGCACTATAAGTTCAAATACTGTTTACACCATACGTGGGTGTGTGTAATATTTTAAATTCTATTTGTCTTCTTCACTATCTGTGTCAGTTCACTGACCTGCAATCTCAGATGGGTGGTGATCAGAGTCCAGCAGTGAGCGGAAGCGTTGAGCAACCTCTATCTGTCCGGGATGGGGTCGCAGTGCGTGGATATCTATAAAATCAGCGGAAACAGAAATGAAGAAGCTGAAGGTTAAGAAGCAGCTCCTGTTCGCACACGTGCCGCCGCTCACCGCTGTCGAAGGCCTTGGTGGTTCCCTTCAGCACCTCCAGCGTCAGAGCAGCAATAATATCTGCCTGGTTGGCGATCGCCTGGGCTCGTTCCACCGCCTCCGCTCCTAAAGAGGTGATCATCTGGGTCCCGTTGATCAGAGCAAGACCCTGAGGGGGCATGAAAAGGACAGAAGATGGGTGTATTGTTTCAAATTTAGGAAACATTTATTAGATAATTGGCACAGTGAATCAACTAAGTTACAGTACAACTAAGTCATTTTAGTTTGCAGATTTTTCTCTGGATTTACAGCACCGGAAATCTCAACTGCTCAAAATAAAATTTTACCAAAAGCCTTAACAGAATTTTACTTTGCTGTTGTTGTTCTGCATATAGGTTAATATTTTTCAAACATTACACTTTACCGTAAGAATTAGGTATTTATCCTGTGATATAAGCCTATATATTACAGTTTAAATGACTGAGGTCAGCACAGACACTACTTAATATTTCAAATTAATAGCATTCCTTGAAGACATCTGTTAGCTCGTAGTAAGTGATGCAGGTGACTCGCAGCTACTGCCGCAGCACATTTGAGTTTAAAATCTGTAAAACTGGCTGAATTTTAGTAACTTTTGTGTTGGCTAAAGTAATTAGATGTTCCATATTCGGTTCGGTTGTATTAAAAGGTTGTAGATGTGCAAAGTACTTTCTGAAAGTTTCAATAAAATCTCTTCTCTTCATAAGAGAATTAGTTAACAGGACAAACACACAAAGTACAAATTACATCTTCATTTTTTCAATATTACCCACCAGGTTGCACCCCCTGATTAATAATGTATCTCCAGTATAACATTTGTTCAGAATATGGGACTCGTGCCGGCAAAATGTGTCAGAATGAGCAGGCTGCTAAGTGAAAATAAAGATTTGAAATTCAATTTTTCATAAAAATTAGTCCAAAAATAAAAACACCATCTAGCAATCTCAGTAACCAAAATGACATATAATCTCCCAAATCTAGTTTTCTAACAGGTGTGTCTTCACAAATCATCCTTCCAATTTCTTTTGAAACTGATCATTTTTCTCTGCCAGCTGCTGAAGAGCCAGGAAATCATTTTTATAATGTTCGGTGTCGTTGTGAATTTTTTTGGTTTCCCCACACTGACGAAAGAAATGTATTTTGCCAGGTGACAATTTGCAAAGGTTCAACAAATTATGCATCATTTTAAAGCTTTTGAGGTGGACGATTTGAAATATTAAAAACCTAATATTAAAAAATTCCTCATTGACTTGTTTTTCCAACACAGAATATGTATTTTGAGACTAACAACAAAAGCCCAAGTGTGTATTCTTCAGCTTTAATGTGTGTGTCACATTGTTGATATAATATGTTTTGTTTTGTTTTTTTCCCCCTCATCTTCCCTTGTGTGGTTTATAGTTTTTCTGTTAAGGGTTGCGCCTCTTCATGATGTCTTCATGAAGATGATCCTTGCTCTGTGCAGGGTCAGTGGCAGCATGACCCAGAGCACCTGTTCTATGTTTGTTATGTTCTGTCTTCTTCTGAATGGGTGTTCTGAACTGTAATTTCATTGTGCTCTGTACAATGACAATAAAGGTCCAATCCAGGGGTGTCCAAACTATGGCCGTACCGGTTTTATTGGCCCGCAGCAAATTCTGAAAATATAATTGAATATGGCCCGCACAAGAAGTAGTCCATTTATTGCAGAGCCTCTAGCTCTGGCTCTGAGCATCTGGTCCAGCGGAAGAAGGCTTGTTTTAAAGCTCTGGATCTGCACTACAACCTGGTGGTGGTTGCAGGTTCCTGGGACATTCCCCCGCGGAGATATAAGCGGTCAAATGTCAGCGGGCGAGCTCCGGCGGGTGAAACGGCTGAATTTAAACACGTGGCTACTGGTGCTGATGCAGGGGAATAAAAGGAAGAGATCCAGTCAGGTGGAACCGGTCCTGGATGCTGAGCACCAGGTTTAATAGCCATCTGCCTGCTAAAAACCCCTCGGGCGATATTTCTGCAATAATGCAAAAAATTCAGAAACCCACCTGATGGATCTGTTCCAGGCAATAAAAGGAACAGATCTGATCAGGTGGAACCGGTCCTGAAAGCTCAGCATCAGGTTTTATACCTGCAAGCAGGTGCAGACCCTCGCGGGCGATATTTCTGCAAAAATGTCTAAAAATGGATAAGAATCACAAATCACAGTGACCTTATGCCCAAAAGCTGGGTTAGAAATACACACATTATTCATGTATCAATATGTCACTTCTAGTGTGTGGCCCGGCCCTTTGTTTATTTTTCTGCATTTGGCCCTCACTGAAAAAAGTTTGGACACCCCTGGTCTAGTCTAATTTAATCTAATCTAATTTAATCTAATCTAATCTAATCTAACAACCTATCCGATCATCTTTTCCACAGCTTGTTGAGCTTCTAGCTGTGAATTTGTTAAATAACATACTAAGGTTTATGATTTTTAAAAATGTTTTTTGTTATTGACAGAATGGTAAATGGACTGTACTTATATAGCACCTTTCTATCCATCCAGGACACTCAAAGCACTTCACACTACAGACATTCACCCATGCACACTCACATTCACACACTGATGATGGCAAACTACAATTGTAGCCACAGCTGCCCTGGGGCAAAAGAAGCGAGGCTGCCATACACNCACACACACACACACACCCACACACACACACACACAACTCTTTGTTAGCTCTCTAAGCTAACATGTACAAATCAACCTATAGAGATTAATCAGTGCTTCATACACAGATGGGACACACATCAGAGGTAGAGTGGAGGTTCAGTGTCTTGCCCAGGGACACCACCACATATGACTGACTTGCAGGGAATCGAACTACCAACTATATGATGTAAAGGATGACTCCCTTAACCACTCAGCCACAGCTGCACAGAACAATGAGTTTCATTTGGTTAATTCTCACCAAATAAAGCAGCATGAATTTGAACATTACCTCTTTAGGTTTTAGTGATATTGGTTTCAGTCCGTGGGCCTCCAAGACCTGAGCAGCAGAGAAAAGCAAAGTGAATATGTACAAAGTTAAGGGTCATCAAAAAGCAAGCATGTTTTCTTGTTGAACCCTGCAACCTTTTGCTCTCACAAGTACACTACAAGGTGTAGGTTTCCTGTGGTGAAATGAAAGTTGTTGTTTTATGGTGGAAAAGTCGGTCTGATCTTACGTATTTGGCATCTGCCCATCCGCTCTTTGGGGACCACATCTTCCCCTCTCCCATCAGCCCCAGGGCCAGGTGTGAGAGGGGGGCCAGGTCTCCACTGGCACCCACCGTTCCCTTCTCTGGAACGAAGGAGAGGCAGGATGCTGCAAGTGGGGGTTAGGTGAGATAAAAACAAGGATTAGTCACATGACTCTCTGTCAGAGATCATCAGATGATTGAAACTTGTCTCGTCGAAGCTCACAGTTGAAGGCCTGTATCATGGCGTGAAGGGTTTCCAGAGAAATTCCACTGTGTCCTTTGGCTAAAACGTTGATCCTCAGAGCGAGCAGCATGCGCGTCCTCTCAGGGCTCAGCGGGTTTCCCAAACCTGCGACAAACCACGACACCTACGGCACTGAACTCTCCGAGACTTTGAAGTGAGCTTTCCAACGACTGTTATTACCTGCTGAGTGGGACCGCACCAAGTTTTCCTGGAGCTCCCTGTGAAACAAAAAGTGTCACACCACCAGTTACACAGCTGATTGTCCAAAAGTGCACAAAAATCAGTTTTGTTGCCTTTACTTGAGCTTGCTGACAGGGATGACAGTCCGGGCAAATTTGCCAAAACCTGTTGTGATTCCATAGACAACTGTAGGAACAATGAACACAACAAACTAAATACATGATATTTATATCTGCAGCTGGTTCACAGCAAACTCCTTTAGGCATCTAGAACCTTTGTTTTCTTTGACGATGGTGTCCAAAAGTTCTCGTGATTGCACAACGTTTTTCTCCGCCTCTGGGGTCAGCTAAAAAAATGTTGGGTTACTTTCAGTCAAATATTACTGCGGATAATCCAACACAAAAACAAAAACAACACTCGGTGTGTAGATCATTACCTTTATCTTATAAAGTCCTCTTCCTAAGTCAACCAGGTCTGTGGCAGTCAAGCTGTTCCCATCCAGGCAAATGTACTAAACACAGAATCTCACGTCACAATAAAACAAATAAAAGTTTCACATCTTTTTTTATTATTCAAGAAAAATGCACTTACTTCATTGGGTTCTTTGTATGCGGCTGTGCTGTTTTATGGAGTTTTGTTGAGGACTTAAGTTTATTTTGCTTTGTTTTCATTTTAAACATCTGTTATTTCAATATGACACACATTTAACAGTTTTGAGGATACAGGTGAGAAACTCCAGGCTCGCATGGGATGTACTCGGAAGACATGGTGTCTCCTTCAATAACTGAAAGCAGATGGAACACATCAATTTCGTGCGTAATTACGCACGATTACGCACAACGTGTTGTCGGATTGTATTCAGGTACACGGACTTTACCGAGCTCGACAAAGTCATTATCGTCCAGCACATCCTCGATGGTGTCATCCGCGTCCAGCAAGCCCGAACCCTGGCACCTGCGCACGATGAAGCGCGTCTCCTTCACGGACTTTATGCCTCCGTTGTCCGGTTTGTTCTTGACGTAGCGTTTTAGCGCTTCCAGTCCGAGCCACTGGATGGTGCAGGATGTGTCTCGGCAGGGCACCGCCAGCCACTCGTCTCGGATGTGGACGGTGAAGCGAGGCATGGCGTCGGAGCGGCGCGGCTCGGCGGGGGGCACTGATGCGCTCCGGGCGAGCCGTGGTGCCACCTTCAGCTGTGCGTCCTCCGACCACCAATCAGACGGAGCTGGGTGGATCGGTGGGTGTCACACCTCTGTAGATCAGTGACACCCACCACCATCCAAACTCACTCCACCGGTCGTTCACACAGATTTTTGGACTCATCGACCAGAGGCGCGCACGTGACAATGAGGTTTTATTCCTAAAAGGCAAATTGGAAAACTGCTGATTGATGACACCACAGAGACTGCAGGACTTCATGTTATTACGTGTGTCTCTTTTTTTTAACGTCATGTTGTCAAAAAAAATAAAAATAATAAAATATTTAAAAATAGATCTTGAACCAGTGAACAGATTTGAGTGAAATTGGATACAACTCTTTAATCAGTGGAGTTATTCTGATTCAAAATGGCTGCCACAGCTAACTGAGAGCTTTGCAGTTTCTGTCCTACCTGAGACACTCTGTCCTACCTGAGACACCCTGTCCTACCTCAGACACTCTGTCCTACCTGAGACACCCTGTCCTCCTACCTGAGACACCCTGTCCTCCTACCTGAGACACCCTGTCCTCCTACCTGAGACACCCTGTCCTCCTACCTGAGACACCTTGTCCTCCTACCTGAGACACTCTGTCCTCCTGCCTGAGATACTCTGTCCTCCTACCTGAGACACCCTGTCCTCCTATCTGAGACACCCTGTCCTCCTACCTGAGACACCCTGTCCTCCTACCTGAGACACCC